ATAAAGGGACCTCACAGGAGCCTTAAGATATAGATTAGAATAGAGGAACTATATAAGGACACTTATTACTACTATATCTAGAGATCTTAGTTTAATTCTTTATATTTAATAAAGATAACTTACTTAAGTATAAGTTTACTAATCTAATTTATTAGTTACTCTCTTACTATTAAGGATATATCTTTAATAGGCCTTACTTCTATCTCTACTATTATTATTCTTATTATCCTTAATCTTAGATAAGATTATTATACCTTTAGATTATATTAGATCTTAGTTAGATTATTGCATCATATGACGCCATATACCTAGGTTAGTATATAGTAGGCTACCACAGAGGGTAGGCCTTAGGCAAGTATCAGATATAGTCCAGGGACTATATCACCTTGTTCCCAAAGTCATTGACTAGCAGAGAACAGCAGAGATGGATCCCAGGGTGTGACAGGAGTCTAGTCAATCTAGCCCTAATCAAAATAGACTATTGACTAGGTCTAATATAAGGGAGTCTAGTAAAACTAGCCCTGATCATTCTAAAATAAGGGATGTATTAACTATTCCTAATCATAGGATTGAAATTTAAATTCCCCAGAGAAAAGAACATAATAATATAAACTTCTCTATAGTAGGAGAAGATAGGGCCCTATTCACTATTAGTATTCTGAACCACTCAATTCAAGGAGTAGTGTCCTGGGTGCGGTAATTACATAAATTAGGAAAGTTAAACTTCATACACAAGCTCTTCATAGCCAGCTGGAGCAATATACCACACTCATCAGACCATCTTCACTCCTTCTCAAACTTATCCCAGCTGGTTGCCCAATCAATATGATCACTAGGCATCTGCAACTAGATCTGCGGATGCAGCTAGGGACTAGCGCTTCCTAGGAGGCACTAACAGCCTAGCCCTTCCTAGGAGGAGGCACTTACGACCGAGCACTTCCTAGGAGGAAGCACTAAAACCTAGCGCTTCATAGGAGACCCTAGCGGAGTGTCACTGGTGCCGCTGGAGAGGCAGCTAGGATGCTTCTTGAGAGGCGCCAGCCACACAACAGAAGTGCTGCATGCTCAGCTAGAATTGGGCAATTCCAGGCGAAGTCGGAGGGAAAGGTGGGAGACCAGTTCTTGAGAGAACCAGTCATACAATCGCGCAGAGAGATTGCACTAAAGCAATACACCAATCTAGACCTTCTGTGTCGTCGTTCGACCCTATCTACCAAATATATATGGCAGTTTCAACCGTCATGGAATCCTTGAAGTCCTCTCAGGTACCATTACCCATCACACCTCTTCTATCACTTGACAATTTTTTCCCCTTTGCTATCAGTATGTCTTGGGTTACTCGAGTTGGCCGGTTTCTCACCTTTTCCTGGAAATCGGGCACGACCGGCGTCCAAGGTATCAATGAAGCGTCAGCGCAGACTGCAGTCGAGGAAGCGGTCATCAAAATTAAAGGCTCTTTTCCTGAGCTCGAAAAAGCAAAAAACGCCAAAGTGGTGTATAGTTTATCGTTCATGGAGCTTGTGCTTTCTTTGCTAACATAGCAGTAGGTCAAGACCGCATTCCACGCCGAAGGCTGACGGCAGGAAAGATCCTCTCCACGCGAACTTTGAAATTACGTCGGAGGAGGGACAAAGAATCACCTCCGTTCATTACTACCCGAACCCACTTGGAGGCAAAAACGTATGGTTCTCTAGACCAAAATACAACGAGGGCAAAAAGGTCAACGATTACTTCCCAAAGGAAGAGCAATCCGGCAATGGATCTGGTGGGAAAGCTTGATGCAATCGCGGGGAATACGGTAGAGCGGGCCAGTGGGTCAGGTTTGGCTTGTTAGCTTCGGACCGCAATGCTTGAAGGTAGTTTAAAATTAAGTAGTTTAAAATTGATGCAGTGCACCACAATCATGAAATAAGTCCTTAATAAGTAGCTATCCCGCTCTGTATTTTGTAGTGCACGAGATAGCTGTAGGTGTTCCAGAATATCATCTCTGATTAGCTTATTCATCATTACCGTCCTGCACTCTAGCGAACAAAAATAATAGTGCAACAATATCAGTCATAGGAGTTCGGATAAAAGTAATAACGGTCCGATGTTCAATACCCTCCCTGTATTTAATAACGGTACGCCGACCCTCAGCTCCAAGAGCATCCTTATCTTCCAATGTCGATTCAGCGTTTCCTCCGTTCCAAGCTTTCTCCTTTTCCGTCTATGAGGATGGTCAGCTACGAGGGTGCTCTTCGTTCTGACCTCATTGATGAAGAAGATGGAGGTCCCAATTACGATGCAAATAAGTATTATCCTGCCTGCATTGGAGAGCTTATCCACAATAAATACCGCCTTATATCGAAACTTGGCTGGGGTGTCAATTCTACTGTGTGGCTGGCCAGAGACTGTTCACGGTAAGTTAACAAGCTATATTCTTTTTATGAAGCAGCACTAATAGGAGAAGATGGTGCTGGCAGTCACACCGGTATTATACTTTGAAAATATCGAACTGCGGAACTGCAGAGCAAAAGTCCGCCCAGGAAGAGGCCCAAATATCTCACCATATCTCTCAACTGAGGTCTAGTCACCAAGGTAGAGGGTATGTGCGTGTAGCAAAGGAGTCTTTTAGAATCCAGGGTCCTCTAGGGGAGCATACATGCTTAGTGTTTGAACCATTAAGAGAACCACTCTGGCTTTTAGGGAGGCACCTTGGGGAAGCTGGTGTCCCTCCTACTGTGCTGAAGCCCTTCTTGAAACTATTACTACAGGGCCTTGACTTTCTTCATACAGAATGTCACATCATACATACTGGTAACCTCCCTACCTGCTACTTATCCTCCTTGGCTTTGGTTAACAAAATAAAGATCTCAAGTCAGACAATTTCCTAGTGGGATTTGAAAATAGCAGTGTCCTTGATAGTTATATACACCACCAGGAAAGCCACCCTCCTCCATACAAGATATGTGCTGGTCATCGCGTCTATCAGTCACGGCCTGATTTTGGGCACTTACAAGGAGGTATGGGATGTGTGAAAATAAGTGACTTCAGTTCTGCTGTTTTTGGTGATCAGTCTTATAATCATGATATCCAACCCCTGCAATTCTGCGCACCAGAAGTTCTCTTAAAGGCTACATGGTCATACAGCACAGATATATGGAACTTAGGAAATGTGGTAAGGCCCCATGCAGTTTTAAGTAGGGTATGTTATGACTAAACTGAATAGCTCTGGGAGCTACTAGCAGATACCACCCTTTTTGATGGGATAGATCCCAGAAGTGGTAGTTACAGCCGAGCTGCTCACTTAGCTCAGATGATTCGGCTTCTTGGCCCTCCTCCATTGCAACTTCTGCAGAGGGCTGACCAGACTATATGTTCTGATCTTTTCTCGAAAACTGGTATAACTTTCCATCCTTAAATGGTTTCTTTGGTGCTTACGTCTCTCATAGGTAAATTTAGGTTTCTGGATTTGATTCCTGCAGAGGACTTCAGTTTCTCAAACCTTACTCCGTTCTTGGATGGAGATGATAAACGGTTGTTCATCAATTTTGCTAAAAGAATGCTGCAATGGGAACCAGAACATCGAGCGACAGCACAAGAACTCTGTGATGATCCTTGGCTGAATTACAGAGGTTGAGATAACTTCGTGGGACTTCCATTGGTCTACGAAGAGAGACTCTAGCTAGAGGTTAAGTAACCTTTCCTGGTACGAGGCACACCGCGAGAGTCGTGTTCAGCATTCAGCCGTCATACTTTGTTTAGGTCATAGTGCAGGGAATAGATTTGCAGCTCAGAAAAGCAGGTGTATGCGGTAATTCTTTCGAAGTTAATCAGAGTGGAAAAAGCCATTATATTAGCAATAAATAATGCTTTGAGGCTGTTCAGGTTGCGCTGCTTGACAAAAGGAGTGTCTCGATAAACACGGTGGCTCGGAGTTGTGGTTTTCTGGATTCGACAGGCAGCTACACGTACGGTCGTACCACTAGGAAGATGACCAGTCCCTCCGCCATGGACAACTTAGTGATCTTGCTGCTGCACCTTTAGCCATCTGGGACGAGGTGAGTTCATCATAACACAGTTTCCTCCCCATGGATAAGTCGGAGCGTACGGAGTAGATTGAGCTAGATTTAAGTGGTCTATGCTGCACTGCACCAAGCATGATGGATTGTGAAGAGAGCCCTGGAAAAGGACACGTCAGCAGAACAGGGGTTGAGTGGGGTTCACTGGGTGAAGAATATTCAGGTTCAGGTGAGCTTCAGGTGAACAGGGTGAAGAGAGTGAAGGTAAGGCGGCGAGGGCGCTAAACCCAACGAATCAAAAAAAATGGGTGATGAAAAAAATATACAACAGCCGGGATTCGCTGGTGGTCACCCACCCAACTACTAACCGGCCGGCGTGTGGCTTAAGTACGGCTGAGCGGACGGGAAGCCCTGTTTTCCACACCCTATGGTCGTATGTGCTTGAACTAGGAGAATAGCAGAATATATGGTGCCATACCAAAGATCATTTGCGAGTATCAATGTCGTCCTGATGATGGTTGAGGAGATGCTGGGAGAGGCATGTATATTGATTTGTGAACTTATATGACTTCACAGATCACTGAATGTCAGACACAGAGTCACAGAAAAGCAGTCAAACTAGTTGACTGGAATGCACTGCTTGGTAACCATGTATTATCCTCTGTCCGTGAAAATCAAGGTGTGCCTAGCATTTATATTATAGGATGCACCATACGTTACTATACAGGAGTGCCCATCTGATAGTACGCATCATAGAAAGATTGTAAATTCTGCAAATCTTCCAGCCTCGATACATCCCACATCTCGATGGTATCTATAATGGCTATTATCGACATCTACATTCATTTGTACCGAAATTCTGTTCCACGGAGGGCGGTGCCAAGTCTCTGTCCCCAACGACCCATTCCTCCCTGTGCTTACATAGGAATTGTCTGTGCGCTCCCAATACTTCCCAAGGAATCCAGACGGGATGCCACAGAGATATACTTAGGGCGAGGACTATACATGAGCAGTGCCGGATTTCTCCTCGATCTCCTTCTGCGTGACCGCGAATTCGGTGATATGAGGCCTGCCTTTGTGTGCTGGAATGAACCAACCTGTCTCTTTGAACAAGCGATTCATCTCTTCGAGAGGGATGCCCTTGGTCTCTGGCAAAAATTCCCAGAAGAAAATGGCATTAGTGACGTTGCAGATGACAAAGAGGAGGAAATACCCCCAGCCCTGTGACGCAATGGCTGGTCTATGTCAGTAACGAATACGTCAGCAACAATGTGACTGGAAGACTCACCAGGATCTGTGATCTGTCCGATCATTGTGTTGAAGGCGAAACTGACAAGGCAGCCAATGGCGACCCCGCGAGCTCGGGTTTTGGTAAATCAAATATCTCCGCGGGAATGACCCAGGAGAGCGAACCACAGCACATGGAGAAGGCGAACTGAAAGATCCATCCGAAGACGAGGAACGCCCAGAGGAGACCCACTTGCGCCGATGGGCCGACGTGGTTGAACCTGGCAATAACGGCAGCCGTGACAATGAAACTGACGGAGCAGGTAAGATTCCCAAGAATCAGGGGCCAGCGTCGTCCGATTCGGTCGATGAAGAGGACGGTGCACAGTTGACCGGCAATGCCCCAGATGTATGAAATGCCTTGGTACAGTACAGTAGTGCCTGCGCTGTCCCAACTCCGACCTGTTTGTAGATGCTCGGGGAAAAGTATTGTATTGCGGGGACTCCTGTCATCTGGACGGACGCCTGTATGGCCGTGACAAGAACCAGTCGCCGAAAAGATGCCGGGTCCTTGAAGAGCTCGTATAAACTCGAAGCGCCGTTTTCTTTCTCATCTTGGATCGTACTCTTGATCTGCTCATATTCTGCGAGAACCCATGGGTCGTTAAGTTCATTGTTGGAGTGCAGTTTCGCAAGCGTTTGGAGTGCTTTTTGGTGCCGGTCGTGATCCATGAGCCAACGGGGCGACTCTGGGAATAGGAGTATCAGGGCTCCTAGAATGCCGGCCGGGATGATCTGGACGCCGAGAGGCACGCGCCACTGATTATCACTGACAAAATTGCTGACCGTCCCGTGTGCGGTAAACACTAGAGAGCATTAAAGCCCGCTTTCATGTTGAGGTTGCTTGCGCATCGGGAATAATAAGATGGTCTAGACATACCCGCGGTCGTAGCCCCGAATCCAATGAAGAGCTGTTGCAGCCCTGTCAGCCGTCCGCGAATAGCAGGATGGGCAATCTCGGCTTGGTACAATGGGATGATCATCACGAGAACGCCGACACCGAGACCTGCAATTGACCGGCCGCCGTAAAGATATCCCAAGTTCTGGGCGGATGTTTGCAGGGCGCCGCCAAGACAGAAGATCAAAGAGCCCAAGATGATGGTCCAGCGGCGGCCGAGGCGATTGGCAGTGATGCCTGCCACAGCAGCACCGAAGAAGGCTCCGCCCGTGAAGACGGACACAACAGCACCGCTAAAGGAGAAGCGTGATCAGCTGGGGTCGACTCGACCAGCGGGGGTAACGGGGGCTAGGAGCTGGTGACAAACACTTACATTTCATTCACCGACGGGTTATGGAACGTTGCTACGAAGGAAGATGAAGCGACAGCGCCGCCAATGACGCCGAGGTCATAGCTGGTTGTAGCCGCACGAATGATCAGCTTTCAGTTGCAGCGCTGGATGATCAAAGGTGATAGAACCACCACTCCACTCACCCAAACAGGAAAGAGCCAAGGGAGGCAAATAGCCCGACGAGGAGCTAGAGAATTCTATCAGCTGCACTGCGGTAGGCCAGAAGGACTGTCGACCGAGGACGTACCTGATACAAATGAGGATTCATCGTGAGACTGAGTGATGACAAAAGACGGAGGCAAAGACAAGAGCTGATAAAAGTATGCCGGTGCCAGCCACATGGGATGATGGGCATGACCCTGGTAATTATAGATCTTCGCTTGATCTGGGGGGATCGACGCAAGGGCCTGCTCAGGGCTGTCGAAGCAAATACGGGATCATTTCGGCAATTGTTACTGCTGGACCAAATATGCTTCCATGGGCGACATTTCTCCGCAGTACGCAGTTGTTTGATTGATCTGACATTGGCTCAACATCGCCCGACTTTCCGCGGCTCCACAAATATGAGTTTATATGACTACTTAAACCGTCGGAAGTCGCCCTGGATTCCGCGCCCCTCCCCCGCCCCCCACTTCTCCTTACGGTATACCCCAGATTATGTCCCAAGACGCCCAGGAACGAAGCCATCGGGGAGCAGTGAGCAGAGCGGGGACGGCGTATGTTCGCGCGAGGACGGCCTCTGCCTGTCAGGTCAGTGATGCCCATTGAAAAAAAGTCTGTTTCTCATCGCATACAAGCAGATATGCCGAGCCCGGCGGGCGAAATGCGACAATGAAAAACCTTGCTCCTACTGCCGGAGAATTGGAGCAACATGCTCGTCGGAGCCTACTTCAGCCACGGCAGGCTTCGATCCGGCCAGCCTGGCCATTCTGGCCAAGTTAGAGGAGGTCCAAAGCACGGTGGAATCGCTGTCTGGCCGTTTGCAAAGACCGCGCTCCCACTCTCCAGACTCCACGCTAATTGCCCAAGGTTCCTTGCATGCTGCATCCATGCAGGCCCCGCTCGCCTTGCGCTTGGACCGCCATCTGCAGCGCGGCAATATCAGTCAGGTGCTTGCCTGGGACATTTGGCAGCCTCATGAACTCCCGCAATGTCTCACAGCCGGTGAGGAGGAACCGGGCGCCGATCCAACGTCGTTCAGCAGAGCACAGACGGCTGGTTTGAATCAAGGCCTTGATCTTAGCCTTTTTCCCGGTTATTTAGATGCTTTTTTCCGCAACGTCCACGTCTTGAATCCGGTGCTAGCCGAACAGCAGATCCGGGCTCAGCTGACAAATTTTCTGCTCAATGGCATTGGCTGGGACGCGGCTTCCTGCCTTCTCTTGCTCGTGCTCGCCAATGGGGCCTGCTCGTCTCAATTTGGCGAGCTCTCTATGACCGGTCCCACCGGTGGTCGAGATGAGAAACGGTGGGCAAATGCACAGGCCCTGTTCGATGCCGCAGAGAAGCGCAAGGACACGCTGTGGCGCAGCGACTATCTGACGCAGGCCAGATGTCACTTCTACAGTGGCATGTTCATGATGGTCTCGATGCGGCCGTTCGATGCGTGGCGCCATTTCCTCCAGGGTCTGGCCACTTGCCAGAGGTCGACAGCTTCGGCGCACCGCCGTAGTCCCCAAGATCCCGCCCAGGTTGAGAAGCAAGCTGAAGAGAGCATCTATTGGTCGTGTTGGAAGTCTGAGAGAGAGCTCCGCTTTGAATTAGACATGCCTAATTTTAGTTCGGCGGGATATGACCATCCCATCATGTTTCCGACTCTGCCACCAGAAGTGTTCGACCAAGAGCAGCTCCGAGCGTGGTACTTCTATCTCGCGGAAATTTCACTCTGGCGCTCCGAAATGACGGCACGGGAAACACTGTCAGAGTTCGCAAGGCAAAAGCCAAGTGCTTTGGAAGCTCTGGCGGAGCGGGTAGCTGATCTCGAGAGATCTTTGGCTTCCTGGCGGGCTTCGTTGCCGGATGCAATCAGCCTCGACGCCGGACTACAGAGCAGCACAGTAGACGTGCTGCACTTTGTCTTACAGGGTCGACTGACCTACAACTACGAAGTGCTGACATGGCCATTTCTGGAGATCCAATTGCTATTCGGAGCACACAGAACCGCCGGTGCATCTGAACTGGCTGCCAGGGGCGTGCGCGTCCACTACGATCGGCTCTCAATCAACCGCGCTGGGTTCTATTATCGGCACCATGGCACTTGGCTGATGCAACGCTCGTCGGCACGCAGTGCATGTATCCTCTTGGCGGTTGCCCGGAGCAATTCCTCTGATCTCCTGCCGACGGGGTGGCAAGCTGTAGTGTCAGATACAATCGCTATGCTCGAGTACTGGAGTGAGACGCCTGAGGATGAAACCGTTGTCTTTCTGAAATCCGCTTTTCTTGAATATATGTAATAGCGAAATCACGGATGTCTACTCTCGTTACGGTAGCGAAATACAAGCTCGCAAACAAGCTTCGTCTCCAGCATATGCTGCGACTTCAATGACAACCATCCGTTCTACAAATATGAATCTATTCCCGCTTCTGCGTTTCAATGGCCTTGTCGAGCATTTCACGTTGGCTAGTGTCGACTGATTCGAATCCAATGCCAGGCTCTGAAAACCTAACAGGACCCTTGTAGGAAAATCAGGTACCCGAGGAGTGCCATAGACTTGCACGACATGCCTGCCAGGGCGCGATCCAGTGTTCACGACCGTAGTTCTCACAGCGAAACAGTCCAGACCCCATTCGGGAGGGCTTGCGTCAATGGTCACTCCCTCTAGGGCAAATATCGTGTAAGAAAGACCGTAGCCAAGAGGAAATTGTGCGACGACGCCGAGCTTGTCAAGGAGCCTCTGTCCAAACCATCGATCGTATGTTATCTTCGAGGCGTCAATGTCAAAGTATGGGAGGTGTTCCTCGCTTTTGGGCATTGAAAACGGCATTCGCCCGCTTGCGTCGACCTTGCCGAGAAGGACATCTGCCAGTGCGTGACCTCCTTCTCCGCCGCTATACCAGGTCATGAGCAGGGCCGGGACTCTGTCAAGCCAGTCATCCATGATGACTGCTCCAGCTGCCACAACGCTGACGATGACACGGGACGACACAGCGGTCACGGCTCTGATGATGTCTACGTCGCGATCTCGTAGTCTAAGGGACCTGCGATCACCTCCTGCCCCCGGAACTAGCCCGTCACTGTCCGTAGAACCGGAACCAAAGCCGGTGCTCTTTTGGCCCTCGATGGCCGCGCGGACTTCTGTTTCGTCACGGTCCAAGGTTGGAGGAAGGAGGTCGAGCAACTCCTTTTGGTCAGCGAAGGAAGGAACAACGTACTCGCCTTCGTCCATCGCATCATAGCCTACCACGCAGAGGACGACATCTGCCATTGCCGCAACTTTCTGGGCCTCTTCAACATTGTCTGTGTCCTGCAGCATGATCTTTGCATCGGGAAGAGCTGCTCTAAGGCCCTCGTAGAAAGTGACCACCTTCGGGGCGAATACGGCTGAAGATCCCCTATCCCCGGTGTTTGCCCTATTGGCGAGCCGGCCGACGATTGCCAACGTGTGGAGTTTGGCAGGATCCAACGGAAGCAGAGGGCAATCCGAGACGCCATCATTCTTGAGTAGAACCATTCCTCGGGCTGCGGCTTCGCGGGCCAATCTCCTGTGTTGATCACAGAAGACGACAGAAGAGTCGGGAGTCGTTCGTCCGGTGCGCACCGCATGCTCTAGTTGCACACGAAGGATGCGCGCACAGGAGCGGTCGATGTCAGACCAAGCCAGATCCCCGCGCTCCAGTGCCCCAGGCACGTGTAAGACGCGTTGTTGTTGGAAGGGGGCTTCAACGTCCAGTCCATTCTTGATCGACTTGACTGCGTCTCGGAAACCGAAGATGAAATCGGACAGCACAAATCCGCCAAATCCCCACTCTTGCCGAAGAATGTCGTTCAGGAGCTCGTGATTTTGTCCTGCAAATTCACCGCGAACGGAATTGTAAGATGACATGACTGATGAGACTCCACCTTCAACCAGTTGACGAAAGTGGGGGAGGTAGACTTCGTGCAAGGCCGCATCGTCGACCTGCACATCTACGTTGAAGCGAGCATTCTCCATGGAGTTCAAAGCGAAATGCTTGACGCAAGTCATGAGATGTTGTCGGACACCGCGATGCAGTGCGAGACCGAATTCGCCCAGGAGTGCGGGGTCTTCGCCATAGGTCTCCTGTATGCGTCCCCAGGCGGGATGCCGAGGAAGATTGACACAGATCCCGGCAAAGAAATTGGCCCCTTGAGCACGTCCTTCTAGGCCGATAGCGTTGCCGACGCGTTGTTCGAGCGTTACGTCCCAGCTCGCACCCCTGGCCATTGACACTGGAAAACAGGTAAAGGAGTGCATCACGATGCCGCGTGGACCGTCGGTGAAGCGTATTCCCGAGATTTTCAGGCGTGGAACTGCCCCCATAACAAAAGCTTCACGGTTGTAACGGTCGAACAAGATTCCACGAAGGCCTTTCCAAAAGAGCTCATCCCCGTCGAGCAACCACAGCCGTTCTGCTCGAGTCATAACGGCCAGCAGAGCATGCGTCGCTCGTTCGAGCGTCTGCCCACTCTGAACCATCCGTACAGCATCGTCAAAATCGAACGTCTCGGTCACAGAATGGTCAGGGGGGCTCTCTACGGCGACCTTGGCCACCGGTTCCTTGAGCATCATGATGTGTTGGGCCTGAGAATAGCTAGGGACGAAATGAAAGGAGAGAAGAATGAGTTCAATATCTCTTCACTGACGGCGGCAGTGTTGTTCGACCATATCCTGAGCGTTGCCCGACATTCCGCAAGCGCCAAATGACACCGAGCGGAAAGAGCCCGACGTTCCGCAAGCGCGCCGAATGATGCTGCACGCCTGCGATTCAGATCTCTGTTATGGCCCCGTGCTAGTGTGCTTTTGGTGCATGCAAGCTTTGCATCTACTCCATGGGGGAAAATATGGAGCATCTTCTTTGAAGAAAGTTGTCCATCGTGTGGGGCATGTACCTATAAAAGGCTGTCACATCGTCCAGCAATTGAACGATAACATACCTACAGTCAGGCTTCCATTTCATCATATTCATTTTGATTCAGAATAATGTTTGCATACCTCACACTCTTGTTGGTGCTCGCTGTAAGTGCGTTGTGTCAAGCAACGTCTGCGATTGAGAAGCGCTCATCTCCTGCGCCCTATTCCACCTTCACCTACAATCCGGTGTACTATCCCCTTAAGCAAGCTCCTCTGTGGCGAGTGTGCTATGCCCGCGCCATTCAGGTCCAAGACGGCAATTTGCTCTTGACATGGGAGGACTATCCATACGGCGAGAACTCTGCAAACCTTGACACCTTCAAGATCCTTCGATCGGTCGATGGTGGCGCGAGCTGGTCCAATTTCTCCCACGTCGCCGACACGCAAAATGGATGGGGCATGCGCTTCCGTAAGTCAGGTTAAAGTTTCCTAAATCAGTCTCTTGCTGACGTGGCTCAGAACCAGACATGTACATCTTGAAAAACGGTATCGGAAAGTACCCTGCTGGAACCTTGCTAATCGCCGGAGTTTCGACGCCATCGAGCCTTTCCGGCGGGGTCTACATAGATCTTTATACTTCTAGCGACATGGGCAAGTCGTGGACGTTCGCTAGTCACGTCGCATATGGTGCCGGACCCGAAACTGTGACGACAGGACACAAGGCTATTTGGGAACCTTTCTTCCTGGAGTACAATGGCAAGTTGATTGTGTACTTCAGCGACCAGCGCGACCCGGCGCACTCACAGAAACTCTCACTTACAAGCACCACGGACTTACTTACCTGGTCTGCCTCGACGGACGTGGTCGCCTACTCCCGTGTCGCCGCACGTCCTGGCATGGCCGTAATTTCTTACCTCCCAACCATCGGACAGTACATGTTATCCTACGAGTACTGCAATCCTCCCTCGGGCAGCGGCTGTCCTGCACACTATCGACTTGCCTCCAATCCGACCGAATTTCTGAATGCCGCTGATCATACGCTGACCACGACTTCCGGCCACACGCCTGGTGGCTCACCCTACAGCGTTTGGTATAAATACCCAGGCTCAACCACAGACGGCGTGGTGATCCTGTCGACCCACTCAGATACGGATCTTTTCGTATCTAGAGATAACGCAAGCACGTGGACTATGGTCAACGTGAACCAGTACACGGGTCAATCTCGCCACCTCTTGTTATTTAATGATAATGGGCAAGAGCGCCTGCACCTTGCTACGGCCGGCTTCTACGGCTGTTCGGGTTCATGCTATAACTATGTTGCGAACGGTGTCACGGCTCTTGATGTCTTTGGTTAGCTCCAAGCGGATGAACTGCCCCTAAAGTCTAAAGGCAATCTGAAAGTGAAAGTTGTTAATTCCGAGGATCCAGTGGGCCGTGTGTGCCTGACCTGTTGCTTTTGTTGTGCTCATAGCCAGGTTCCAGACTATTCAGCCAGCCAGCTGAGCAAGGGATGTACTCATTCAACACCTCGGTCACAAGGCCAACCATCACATCGCGGAATAATTTTCGTACAGTATGAGCTGAGTTGACCCAGATGTGCGCCATGTAAAGAGGCTCATCATTCGACGGCGGTCAGAGGATAGCTGAGCACTGTGTGACGTATGCTCTGACTATGGTTGAATGGCAATTGCAGGAAGTAAGAGCTTCTATGACTGATCGAACAACTGCTCGCCAGATTCTGATTGGCGATGATCCATCGCTGCTTCGGGCTTATAGAGATATGCACAACTACCGCCGACGAGGATACACTGCGCCGCGGCTTCCGGACCCAGCATCGCCAAAGTATTGATAATTTCATACATACTCCTCATCTTCAGGACAGCTCGCGTGAAAATGGTCATGCCCGGTAGCGGTATTCTCAATTAATGGTGATCGCTTGGGGCCTTGCTTGCTTAGAAACGTTTACAGGGATTTGTACTACTTAGAGAGCCTGGAGTAAACAACAGCTTTACAGTCTGGTACATGTGCCCCGCCTGGATATTTAGGCCCACACTGACTGCATAAATGAATCCGAGTTGTGTACAGCAAGTTGGAGGTGTCCAGTACCCGGAATGTTGGCATCAGTCGAGCCATCTTATGGGCTTTCCTGTCCGCAACGCTGCCATTAGGATAGACCTAGCAGTAGGCATTGGAATGGCAAGACTCGTTTACTGTGATGCAGTTGTGTGCGTGGGCTTGCTTGTAAGGGTGGACATGAGGGCTTTCCTAGTCGTGAGGTCTAGCTTATATCAGAGCTCACAGCGTGTCATGAAAGTTCTGCCCAATTCCAATCGGGTCATTCGCGGATCCTTCTTTATTTCCCTAACCAAAATGACCATTGAAAAGAACCAACCTGCCAAAAAGATCCCGCTAACAGCTGTCGACACTCGGGATTTCCCAGGAGAGGATGCTTCCAGCACCGGAACACCGACGGGGCTGGTGCCTACTTAATATCCATGCTTGTCGTCAGACTGAAAAAGCATGCAATGCCATGAATTCAGCACTGAAAGGATAATCAAGGTAGCCTTCCTTTGATAGCATGCTATAGAAAGAGGCACGGTCGTACTTTTGAAGCTGGATGCCAGCCATGACTCGAAAGGGCAGGTCTGGAGTCGAGATGAAGTACCTCCCAAAGGCAATGGCCACATTGGCGTTTGTCGCCGCAGACATCTTCTCCGTCACCTCCTCTGCCGATGCCGCATCGTAACCGCCTGCCAGCAGGATAGGCGCGGATTGCCCCCAGACACGCACAAACACCTCATGATTGGGGTCGGGATGGGGCTTTTCCTCATCAAGCCATCGGGAATTTGCAAGATGGAGATATGCGAGATCCAAACGCCGCAGCTGGGCAATGAGATACTCAAACTGTGGCACCAGCTCGCCCATTGTCCCCATCCCCAGATACTGACTGTAGGGGGAGAGTTTGACCCCGACACGATCGGCACCCACGGCCTCGATAACCGCCCGTGTTACCTCGACCGCAAAACGAGCTCGGCTCTCGATGCTCCCGCCCCATCGATCCTGGCGGTGGTTGCAAGACTTCTGTGTGAACTGGTCGATGAGGTACCCATTTGCGCCATGGATCTCCACCCCATCGAATCCAGCGTCAATGGCGTTTCGGGCCGCCTGCGCAAAATCCGCGATATACTGCTGGATTTCGTCCTCAGTCAGAGCCCGGGGCAGAGGTCCCTCCTGTTCTACAGGCACGGCGCTACTGGAGACCAGGTCATATTTCATGTCGGCGAGTAAGTCCGGCTCCGCGGCGCGGCCGGTTGCCCATAACTGGCAGAAAATAAAGCATTTCTTCGAATGGACTCGAGAAACAATCTCTCTCCACGCCTCGCACTGTGGCGCGCTCCAGATCCCGGGGACATGTTTGTAACCCATGGCCTGGGGGGAGATGTCTGTTGCTTCGGTGATGAGGAGGGTACCAGTAGTCGAGGCACGCTGATAGTAGTACTCTTGTACAAAGGGCAGCGGGACCCCCTGTCCGTCGGCACGGAATCGGGTTGTCGGTGCCATGATCATCCTGTGTTGGAGATGACACCTTCCCACCTTGAGCGGCTTGAATAGTTGAGCAGAAGACGGTTGTTCTCGCATTGGTCCTATCTACTCAGTGGTCAAGACTCGTTGAATGATGAGGCTCAGTTTAACCAGTGGAGGTATGGCTCTGGAGTATGGTCTACCGGCTTGGAGATATCGTATTGACTGCCTCATTGGTAAAACCAAGCAGAAACGAACCCATTTGAGTAAAATTCTCCTCTGCCTGAAATAATTCCCACTCCGCCAGGTCGTCCCCTTGCCTAGTCAACTGTTACCATAGGTCATATGTTTATTATTACATATTGACACGGAAAGGGCAGCTGTTTTGAAGGTATACTCTGACTACTCGAATGCTCTTCCCTTGCTTCGGCTGCAGAGCAGTGGAACGGAACTCCTTGCTTCCCCGGATTGTTTCCTTGGGAATTAAAATCGGGAGCCATGTCTCCATGTCCATGATGTGTCTTTTATCATGCATACGGGAAATGGCGGTCAGTTAAGACTGGACCAATACTAGGGCTACACCTCTACTCCAATGCGCCGATAGCTAAGAACAAGAGCCCTGTCCGAAAAAAAGGCAAGGGAGAGCCAGAAGAGGCCAAGGGTTGTTGGCGAAAACATTTCCAAGCATTTATGTGCTACAGTCTCCAAGACCTCACCGTACTTTCTCAGCGCTTGTGAATAGTGAGGGCTAGATGAGACACTTTTATAAGAGATCAACTGCCAAAAAGGACCTACCATACTACCAAACTTTGTGTGATTGAATGCACCCACACCAGTTAATCTTTCCACCAACCAATCTGTATCCATATTCTATAGAGTAGGCACTCCGCACCATGACTATCCTCGTGCTAGGTGGCCGCGGCAAAACAGCTAGTCGTCTCTCCTTGTTGCTGCACAACGCTGGAGTCCCCTTCCTGGTCGGATCCAGTTCAACCTCCCCTGTCGGTCCCTACAAGATGACGCACTTTGACTGGCTCAATGAAGATACCTGGACAAATGGGTTCCTGCGCGCATCCCTAGACGGCATGGACCCAATCTCCGCCGTCTACCTAGTGGGAGGTCACGCACCGGAGTTGGTTGATCCGGGGCTTCGATTTATCAATTTCGCTCGGGCTCGGGGTGTCAACCGCTTCGTCCTCCTCAGTGCCAGTAATGTAGACAAGGGAACCCACTCTATGGGCATTCTTCACGCACATCTCGATACTCTCGAGGATGTGCAATATGTGGTCTTGAGGCCGACCTGGTTCATGGGTAAGTTTTCAAAAAAGCACATCCTTTCGGAAGCATGCTGAGCCCCCCGGTCTAGAGAACCTCCTGGAGGATCCACATCTCGGCTGGATCAAGGAGGAGGACAAGATCTACTCTGCTACCGGGGATGGCAAGATCCCGTTCATCTCTGCCGACGATATTGCACGAGTTGCGTTTTCTATACTCACAGACTGGAAGCCACAAAGAGCGCAGGAGTATTTTGTTGCAGGCCCGGACTTGCTTTCTTATGATCGGGTAAATCTTTCCACGCGCGGCAGCATGGCATCGTGCTTATGGCTGTGCACAGATAGCGGATATCCTCACGACAGTTCTGGGCCGAAAGATAACCCATGTCGGTCTCGCCGAGGCAGACTTAGCTCGGCTTCTAAGGGATGACGTTGGTCTGCCGCCCGATTTCGCGGCCATGCTCGCTTCGATGGAGACAGATGTTAAGCACGGCGCAGAGGAGCGCGATAGCCACGATGTGAAGAAGATGACCGGAAGTTCGCCACGTAGCTTCTTGGACTTTGCAGAGAAGGAGAAGACGCGCTGGATGGAGCGTTGAAGGGATTCTGGGAGGACACATATCCATGATGTACATTTGATCCTCTGAGCGTCACTAAAGCTGCAATATCCTTCGTAGAGAGTTAACATAGGAGTTGAAGAGGTATCTTAAGCATCTAAGCAATAGCCAAAAAGCCCCCTTTTTTCCACCTCTTCTTGGGCATCCTAAAGACTGTTTTCAACATGAATTCTCTCCTTGAACGTCATACAGTACTCGTGATCCGCATATCCAGTAACTGATCCAGGGAGGACTCCCAGCTCCTCATCGACATTCACAGCAGAAATCTACCCACAGTCAGCATTAACGAGTCTCAGAGGCGAAGAAATAGAGGCACAAAGAGGAATTCAGGAATTTCATACATCAAATCGAACGAGTAACCTGGCTATGAGCTTCGTGACCGTCATTCTGGTGAGGTTCTTCCCGACGCACCCATGCTTGCCCTGTCCGAACCAAAGACCCGCCCGTTCCATGGCAAGCACTTATTCATTCGATGCCTCTATCCATCTTTCTGGTCGGAACAGCCCCGCATCACTTCCGTAGACAGGTTCATTGCGGTGTGCTGTATAACCAAAGCATCCGACGTTGGTCCCGGAAGGAAGACGCTCACCACACAAGTCCAGCCCCTCGGGGCCGACAGCACGGTAGAGGGATATGCGTGCAGCGCTGTGCAACCTTAGGGTTTCCTTGAACACCGCCTGCAGATAATTGAGGGTGGACACCTCTGTCCATTTGGGCGCATAGCTGAGATTGCCGGAGCGGACGGCAGAGTCCAACTCTTCCCGTAAACGCGCAAGAGCGGCAGGATGCTTGACGAGATAGTACAAGAGGAAAGTCAGGGTTGTACCGGTCGTGTCGGATCCAGCGAATATAGTTGATATGGTTGCTCCCAGAACACCTTTCTCTTCGAGAGTCTCCGGGTCCTTCTGAGAGGCGTCCATAAAGTGGGCCAGTAAATCCCGGTGGGTCGTTTTAGTTTTTTTGTTGCGACGGCGCGACTGCAGCTCCTGTGCAGCTTTTGGGAAAAGGGAATCCAAGCCTGGCCCTATGAACCCAGCCACATAGTTGGCCAGCCAGCCCACTATGGGAGCAGTGGAAGTATAGCAAGCAAACACGAATTTGCTTTGCAACATGGACAGGACCCCGTCGGCATCGTTCCCTTGACTCAGGTATCCCAGCTTGTTAGAGAAGGCGATCCAGTATAAGCTTTCCAAGGAGAATAAACGCATCCACAGCACCACATCTACAGTGACTCGACGACAGATTTGATCCTCTAGTTCTTGTTGGATTTCGTCCATCGCTGATTCCATCCCCAACAGGCTTGGAATGGCAAAGTATGGCGCCATCGGACGCTTCAACCTGGTGTGAATTTCTTCGTCCATAGTCGAACCGACCGAATGTATTTCTCTGCCTCTTTCAGAAGTTGCAACGGAAATATAAAAATTACCCTACGTAGATTAGCTGCTGGCAGCTATGAGATATCACTACCCCGAGTGGGCCAGGAAGAAAGGGGACGCTGCCCTTTACCTTCTTCAGAGTTGGATTCGTACGGTATAGCACGGGAACACCTGACGGATTTCCCAGATTGACAGAATTGGGGCCAGTGCGTACTAGGTCTCCATAGCGTCTATGAAGGGTCAGAAGCACATCGCCGTAGTCGCCCTTGATATAGTGGTACGCGCGCCATAGATCCGTTACTTTGGCCCACAAAGGTCCAGGGATATGTCTCAAACGGAACCAGTTCTGAATGGTGTGAGCAAGTAAAAGCGTCACCACTGGGAAAAAGAATGTGAGAAAAAGCATTTTGGTAGAAGCTGGTACTAAAGAGAACCCTTAGATCAGGTTATATGACAAGCTTTTGTTCTGTTTAGCATCAAATTGAACAGCAGGGGTACTGAATCATCTTCAGTTGGGGACGCATATAGTCAAGCTCATAAATTTTTAGAAGCGTGCGCCGCCAGGAAGGTCAAGAGAGTTAGGTGCAATGTACAAAGCATACGCAAGGGGCCTCCCGTGTAACAATCTCTCCTGACCCCGCTAAGAATGCTCTGTTGTCAATATTCAAGCCTAGAGAAAGACAAATTCCGCACCGATACCTTGGCATCGCCCCCAGTTTGCTCGTCTATAAGCAGTGAAGCAACTCCTCTAGAAGGAAGATAAGCACACCCAGAGTTGTTACCTAGATATTGCGTAGTGAGCTGACTGAGTGTACTATGCAACTCCTTCCCCTACCGGTCAGGGTAGATGTGGGTAACCGAACCTATATGTCGGGCTAGACTGGGCAATACAATGTAATTCACGGCACAAGAACTCATTACAAAGAGAATGCTATTTTTCATTCTTGGAATATTCTTATCGCTCTGCACGGCCATCAATAAACAGGTCGTGGCCCGCTGGGGTTACCATACGTTGTGATATAGGGACCTTTGATGTGGTGGTAGGTAACTGAGATATAGCTGAAAGCAAAATAACTCCTTGTGGTTTGGCCCAAAGACCTACCGGCAGTCAGCTTGGACCATCCAGTGGATTCTTCTCAAAAATTGGCTTACCAGGCTTCGTCCATCAAGGCTCGATGAGTCTGGACATGCTCATCCCAACCGAGGTAGTCGAGGATTTCGACGACCGTATCGGAGACATAGTGATCTTCAGCTGCAGCAACACTAAAGTATAGCTTAGGGACAGGGATAGGAACGTCAGTCCTCAACTCCCAAACCCATTGCATCCAGTACTTCATCTCGCAGGTTGATGGCTCTTCATCCATCAGACGTCTCCACAGCCTCGCCACAAGATCAAAGCCTTTCTCGATGTCTTCGTCCTGGAGCCGCCCTCCCAGCGTCCAGACATCACGGGCCTGCTCTAATGACTTCATACAAATCCCTGTGTATACTTTGATCCTGGCTTTATCAGCATCGACCGCGTCATAGGAAACAGCATCCCAATACTCCATAAAACAGCCATTCGTCGGAACCATCCAGTCTTCTAGCGTATTCAGAGCGGAGATGATGTTGGCATTCTTGAGATTCAGCTTTCGGATAGATTCAAACATAATCTGTGTGGTTTCAATCCCAGTAATGGCGGAGCGAATCGCAGGCATGAAGTAGGACTTCAACATAAATGCTCCTTCACTCAGATCAAGCCCATGGAGTCTCTGATTCTTGAACGGGACTTTGGAGAGAACGTCGTCATTGCTCAGAACCACCTCTTCCGGCACCAGAACCTCCCGCTGAAAATGATCAAACCAAGTGAAGTCAAGATCCGGTTGGATGGCCCTGAGATCCTCGATCATCTTCTTCTCAGCGGTCAGGTTGAAAGGGTCCTTATCAGTACCGGCCGCGGGCGTAATGGTCTCAGCAGCGATGCGAACAGTGCATTTCGATCCTTGTTGGTAGTTGATGCTAAGTTCCAGGTTCTCGCCTCCAGGGCAGATACCGCAGACCCAGTGAACGTTATCTCGCTTCTCGTTGGGCCAGGGTCCCAGATTCGGCGCGTAGACGGAGTAGAACATCAACAGATGCTGGTACTGAGATACCAAGCTGTACTTTGCAAGCCTAAGGTATGTGGCAAGCTTTGAAGCTGCCCGTTCCCACCAAAGTTTGTGCCCCTCATGTTGAAACACTAGCGTCCGACTCAATACTTCAAATGGAGCTCTCCATTGATCTTGAACCACTTCGTCTTTTGTTGCTGCATGAATCGCTGTCTCTTGTGGATGACGCCCTTGCGCATCGCTCTTGGTCATCGTGTTGCAGTTGTAGTGTGGCCGAGGCAAGTCTCTTGTTTCCCAGACTTATTGCTTTCTTGAGCAGACCCAAGGAAGAGGTGCTATGTACGTAGCTGCGCAACAGACGTATGTTCGTGTGGCCACTATGTCTTTAATACTAACACTTCTTGCAGGTTCCACGTACCATGACAGTGAGTTGTATGCCAATTGGAAACTTGCGGTGTGTTTCCTCCCTACAGGGAGAACAATGCAGAGGAAGCAAGGGAAACCGCCATTGCCTTGTGGAACTCGGAGGAGGTCTTATGAATTCCCGGGTGTCTTACGGCAATAGAAAGACCTCACCGACTCCTTTACGCATTCAATCGGCTGTTCCATTATTGAAGCATGTGAGTCACGTCTAAGCAATCAGCAGCATAATACGATCAGTCTCTTGTTGAATTGATGGGTGATCTGTTGCGCTGTAGCACAACAGCATGCCTGTGTAACCAGACACCTTCCATAGAGGGGGAACGCTTCTGTGACCCGAAAGCCGAGGATGTGCTAGCCAAAGCAAGGAGTAAATACAAAAGAATGATGAGAAACGAGGACATCATCTGGAGACGAAAAGTTCCGACTATGAACGGCATAAAGGTCTCACGACGACAAGGCCTTCATGGAAAATGTTTAGAGGTTGCCAACCAGCTATTCCTCCAGTACACCAGCGCACACCGGTTAGAACAGATTCTCCAATAATGACATCAGTCGAATCCCGAATATTCGCCATCACTGGCGGCGCCTCCGGCATTGGCGCGGCGACCTGCCGCCTGCTCGCTGAACGTGGCGCTGCGGTTCTGTGCGTCTGCGATATCTCGTCCAAGAACTTCGAGGATCTCAAAGCCTCACTCAAGAAAATCAATCCATCGACAAAAGTCCATTGCGCTACAGTTGATGTGACCTCCTCCGTGGAAGTTCAGCAATGGATCGAGGGCATCATCTCTGACTTTGGAGACCTCCATGGAGCCGCCAATGTAGCCGGTATAGCTCAGGGTGCTGGCATGCGACATACCCCCACGATTGCAGAGGAGACGGACGAAGAGTGGACCAGGATCCTGAACACTAACCTGAACGGCGTGTTCTATTGCACGCGCGAGGAGGTGCGTGCCATGAAGGGTCTCCCTGCCGGAGACAGAAGTATTGTCAACGTTGGCAGTATAGCGGGCGTTTCTCACATGCCGGACGTGTATGCGTACGGGACCTCAAAGGGAGCCTGTGCCTATTTCACAACTTGTGTGGCTGCGGATACGTTTCCCTTGGGGATTCGGGTCAATAACGTCTCTCCAGGTGGGTTGTCTCCTGCCCCCTTCTTCGGCATGGAAGGCCATTATATTAATCACAGCATCCTCTTGAAGGAGTCACAAACACGCCAATGCTTCCTCAGTTTGCTCCTATGGCGAAGACATTTGAAGAAATAGAGGAGTCATACAAAAAGGAGGGGCTATCGTTGATTGAGGCCGAGGATGTGGCTAGAACCATTGTTTGGTTACTGAGTGAGGACTCACGGCCGGTATATGGGGCGAATATCAATGTCGGTGCCTGCATGCCGTAGATAGAGTGGACATTTGTCCAGTCCATATTATGTTGCGATGATTTCAGGAATCATCTCTTTGGGTAGACCAGTTTGTTGCAAGACCTGCCAGTGTTATTCGTGGAATCAACCATAATGAGAACTCCTCTCAGCTCGGTCACAAGTACCCAGGGATTTTGACGACAAACCGCTGTGTTAACATGTACAAGGCTCCCATCAAAGCCTTACTAGGTTGAGATATTTTCTCTTTGGCACCTCGTGGACCTTGCCGGCTTTACTGATGCGCAGATTTCAACCTAACATCTCGAGGCCCTGGAATTTCTCTGCAGCATTCTTCGCGTAATTATCGCCGACCGAAGCTATTGGGTCGACTCAGCGCTGGGCAGTGTCTCACAAGGTTACTGCCCCTTGCATCCTGGTGGCTCATCAGCGCTAGGGGGAGAGAAATAGGTGAAAGTTCTCCCTACTTCTTGCTGTGGTAGCTAACTGATGGGATCAGAATGGCACGAGGTGACGGCAAAATCTTCTGTCCATGATATCATTGCCCACCTATCGGCCTTGCTTTTCTATGGGCCAGAACTATCCGGCCATAAGGAATGGCTGGAAGTCACGGACGAGTATGCGTCCGTCGGGTTTCTAGCGGCTCGAGAGCTCCGTCTTTGGCCCCAGATCTTACGGCCCATCGCCCAATGGTTTCTCCCATCCTGTCGACGACTGCGGTACCTAGCGAGCAGAACTCGTAGCCTCATCGAGCCTGTCATTGCCGCTCGACAGAAAGAGAAGGCTAGATGTGCTTCACATGGACGTGAACCGCCTGTTTACGATGACGCGATAGAGTGGACGGAGCGAGCTGCCAAAGGGCGTTCCTACGATGCCGCTATGAGTCCTTTACTTTTCTCGATCAACGCGCTTCATACGACCACGGACCTGTTGACCCAGGTCATTCTCGATCTCAGTACGCAGCCGGACCTGATTGCTGCCCTGCGTCAAGAAATTATCTCAGTCAGGCCTCAACAGAATGGGTGGAAGAACGCCAGCCTAAATCAACTGCTGCTCATGGATAGTGCTATCAAGGAGAGCCAACGACTGAAACCAACCGAGTCAAGTATGCATGTCATGATCTGTAACTTCTTCCTTGGGAAGAAACGGTGAATACCGCATTGTGGTACCACACTAACTGTTTTCATTAGTACTCATGAGAAGATACGCAATGGATGACTTGACCCTTGCTGATGGCACCCAAATCCCTAAAGGGACCGTCCTGGGAATACAATCTTCGGTATGCGAGATCCAAAGATATACGTTGACCCGGATACGTACGACGGATATCGCTTCCAAAAGATGCGTGACCAGCCTGGATTTGAAAGCAAGTGCCAGCTTGTATCTACGAGCCCATGGCATCTGGGATTTGGCCACGGGATCCATGCATGTCCAGGGCGGTTTCTTGCAGCCGTTCAGGTCAAGATCATCCTCTACCATATTGTCGCAAAATATGATTTCAAACTGGCAGGTGGCGCGCATCCCAAAGTCCAATCTGTGGGGATAGAGTTGATATCGGATTCTGAGGCAAAACTCGCCGTGAGAAGGAGGCAAGATATGGCGATTGGGTTAGAGTAAGATCAATCTTAGTTCTTCTTGCCTAGATTCAGTCAATATGAAGCGGTGTTTACCACTGTACAATAGCATTCTGACATGGGAGTATTCAAGTACTGCCCACGAATGGTACACACTAGTCTCTTGTTGGGGAGCATGCATGTAGCCGGACCGTAAGTGATGCAAATCCATGAATGATACTCTCCGGCCTAGTCGCTTCGGCATAGCTCTGCCCTTGAGGGACCTATGTAAGGGAGATGTGAAGCCCAGACACCCTCCTTGAATTGGCAAATCTAGTGGCGCTACAGCAGATTCGTGTAGCAGATGATATGTTTTCTTAACTGAGCAAATATAAATTTACTGGCTGGTACAGCATTACCAAATCAAACTCGGCAGATGTACGTGCATCTACTAGGGTATGAATGACCGCGTACTTGCTGTGAAATGTATGCATCTTTTCTGCGTCTCGATGGTTTGTCAACCACAGCAAGTGGCGGTGAGCCCAGATTAATTGGAGATATTCTTGCAAAGAGTTGGGCATGTTCTTGGGCTCTGCAAGGGAGGCTTGTATCTCTATTTGCAACAGTAAAAGGAAGGGTCGACCACACTTTCTCCCAGAACGCCTCAACTTCTGGTGCGCAATTGAAGAATAAGATATTGCACCTTTTCTCTCTCGGAGATGAAGAAACAAGCAACTTTTAAACCCTTCCGTCTGAGTCCCGTGGACCATTCCCTGCCCAAAGTCTACATCTTCAAGTCTTTATATTTTCGCGGAGTAGATGAAATAAGCAGTCTTTCGCGCCTGCGAGATGGTATCGACCGTCTACTATCATGCTTGCCATTTCTTTCCGGAGAAGTCGTGCCATGTGCGGATCTCGCCGAAAAAGTCGGGGTCCTCCAAGTGCAGATGCCTTGTCCCTCTCTCCAAGAGATCCCCATGCTCCTAGTTAGGTCATATCCCAATCACGCATGGCCTGCAACTAGATGCTCAGATAGATGGAGGAATACTGCTTTACTCAATCAGTCATATCATCCACTCCCGGATTTCATTCCGCCATCGAAACCCAGACCCGTGCTCCGCTTCCAGGCCAATTTCTTGGCCGATGGCCTCGTGCTATGTATGGGTTACAACCATTCTGTGTTTGACGGTACTGGAGCCGGTAATGTCCTCGAAATACTGGCCGACTGTTGCCGTGCCGATCCAGCTAGCATCGTCTCTCTACCCACCACTGGCGGCATCGAGTCCGAACTGCGCGGGCTGCTGTCCGATCCTGGTGTTGCTGTTGCGAATCCTTGCCAGGCAGCGTATGCCATCAACTGTGCACACACAGAAGTAGAACCCGAATCTTTCCCCGCTATGCTGTGCAGTTGGCCGTTCCTATTGTCTTCCGAGAAAATCAAATGTCTGCGAGAAGCATGTAACAGCCTTTTACCATATCTTGTACGCACGTACAGGGGCTCCCAAAGCTCGATGATCTACCCGGACCCGAACTGGCCACAGATTCTCTCTAGCAACGACGTGTTGACCGCATTGCTTGCGGTAAGTGTTGAGAAAGCCAGGGAAGCAACGGGGGCCCAGGAACATATGAGCAGTAGCCTTGCGATGGCTGTGAATCTCCGAGAACGATTGAAGCCCATGCCGAGGCATTATCTTGGAAACTTAGTGACCACTGTATGGGCGTCTCATCATCGACCAGCCGAAAAGGACCCGGAGACCATGGTTTCACCTGTCCCAGCATGTAATCATCCTGAAATCGACCGAGATGATCTCCTTTGGATTGCCCACGTGGCTTTCCGTATCCGGCTTGGGCTGAACGCTGTCAACGAAGAGCATATCCGCGGGCTCCTTCACTACCTGCACAGTCAGGATGATTGGGAGCAAATTGGCATTCACTTCACTGACCCCATATTCATCAGCAGCTGGCGGCATCTGAAAGTTTACGAGCTCGACTTCGGTCCAGGCATTGGGCATGTCGAGAACTTTGAAATGGATGTCGGAACCACGGATGGCGTATGCGTTGTTATGCCAGCTAATAAACGGGCTGTCGGAAAGACCGAGAAGGCTCCATGGGACATTCGCATTGTCTTGAATTCAGATGTCATGGAAGCCTTGATCACTGACACACTCTTTGGTTGGCCTATGGTGAGGGATGCTTCCAAGTAACTCTTTTAGCAGCGGATGGAGCAGGTGGCCAAACTCCATGAAAGGATGAATGTTTTCAATGATACCTAATCGTAAGCCACATGCAGTGTACTTATGCGCAAGGGGCCATGTTCCCTAGTTCTGAAGCATAACTTTATACAATCTGCAGGCAAGGGGAATATAGATACGTGAAGCGTTTTCTAGAATACCGGTCGTTGCCGTTTGCTGGGCCTGCATGCATCCTAGTGACCAGATAAAACAATCTGCTACTGGAAATTAACCCACATACTACTCCTCTACGGATGCGTAACGGGAGATTGTAAAATTTAAAAGACAACTCTGGCTGACGGCGTCGTTTTAGCGATGAACACCTCAGAGCCTGGCAAGAGGGACTTGTTCGAAAGACGCATCCATCTTCTCCACCCCTCGTCTCACCCGTGAAGACAGCTCCGGACAAACCAGATGGAAGGTGTAGTAGACCTTCTCCCGAATCTCCTTGCCCGTCTGAGCCACAGACGAAATGATATTCTCCACCATCTTGTCCTGGAACTCCTGGCTTCGGAACTCGGGAAGCGCCTTGTAGAATTCCCGCGGAAACATGTAGTCGTTCTCATTTGTCTGCATCCATGACTTGGATGAGAGCTGCGAGAGCCATGCATTGAACTTGGGGTCATGCTCGTGGGGACGTGCAAAATTCACGCCCTGCGATTCGGACACGTAGCCGGGCAGGGATCCATAGTTATTGTCGAAAGTGCCCGCACCGTCACGAAGAGTCGGGTTGAAGGCCGTTGGGCACTGATTGACGGGGATCTTGTGGTGGTTGGCGCCCAGTCGGTAGCGCTGCGCATCTGGGTAGGCAAACATCCGCGCCTGCAGGATGGGATCCTCCGAGGGCAGGATGCCAGGCACCATGTTGGACGGGGAGAAGGCCAGTTGCTCGACCTCGGCGAAGTAGTTTTGCGGGTTCCGCTTCAGCGTCAGCTTGCCGAAGGGACGGGACGGGATCGTCGGAAGGCTCTTGGGGTAGGTGCCCAGGTTCCAGTGCTTGGTTACGTCAAGGATGTTGAACCCGAGGTCGGGGGCTTCACTGGGATCTACGACCTGCACGCTGGCCGTCCAGGTCGGGTAGTCTCCTCGTTCGATGGCCTCGTACAGGTCTCGGGTTGCGTGGTCAGGGTCGAGGTCAGAGGTGCCTTTGGCTTGTTCGCCCTGGCTGAAGTTGGGCCCGCGGTCCGAGGACAGGAAGATGTGCACGTATTTGAAGGAGCCGTCCGGCATGACCCATTTGTAGGCATGGGCCATATACCCGCTCAGCGACCGCCAGTTGAACATGGTGCCAAAGTCACTGAACTGCAGCAGAACCATATGCAGAGACTCGTGGTTAGATGTCACCCAGTCCCAGAACATATTGGGGTTCAGGAGGTTGGTCCGCGGGTCACGGCGTTGAGCATGCATCAGACTTGGGAATTTGAGCGGATCCCGAATGAAGAAGAAGGGGAAGTTGAGGCACACCCAGTCCCAGTTCCCTTCCTTGGTGTAGAACTTGGTGGCCATTCCCTTCAAGTCTCTCATGCCCTCGGCAGAGCCTCGCTCCATCCCTGTGGTCGAGAAGCGCGTCACACACGGCGTCTTCTTTCCCACGCCAAGCAGCATATCAATGTTGCAGATATCCGAAATGTCAGCAGTCACCTGGGTAATCATTCAGTATGTCTTCCAGCCATTGCCGTCGACTCCTTATTAGGAAATAGATACCTCAAATTCCCCATAAGCCCCAGCACCTTTGGCGTGCACCACTCGTTCAGGAATCTTCTCCCGATTAAAATGAGCCAGCGACTCCACCAAATGGTGGTCATCGAGGGCAAGTGTCCGGCCGTCTGCCGGGGGGCCTTCAGGCTTCATGAACGGACACCCATTGGCCGTTGTATATGTCTTCTGGGTCGACGCTGTACGCGGACACTTGGCCCCTTCATTTTTGAATGACATCTTGACAAGCAACGTTCACTTTGTAGAGGTTAATTTCTTAATGAACAGTCGATACAATGCTCCGTGTGTGAATCTTTGTCTAACTTCTAGTATTTGTAGCAATTCATTGATTCCCCTTCGCCACTGAAATTCTAAGGCGAACACCTCTGTGAGATTAGGACTTCCGCCCTTGCATCCTCAGCCCTCCGTCGTTGACATCTGGTCCGGCAAAAGTATAGGATTTTTCCTTGCGGCATCTATGCAACAAGCCTCTACATGGATCCAGAAGGATTACATCCTACTAGCACCATCACAAAGTCGCACAACTGCACACCAGTATCTACAATGAAGTGCGGAATTCTCGCCTTGGAGGTTTCGTTGTCTCAGTAATGACTCGCTGTAAGGGGACTCACCGTCTTTTCAAAGTCCTCACGTCGATGCTTGCCTCTGAAGCGTATGCCAGCCCTTACTTCGGCCACATCAAGAGCAAGGTACGTCCCACAAGCATTCCTGAGCATGACTCGCAACCGCCACAATGGCCATCATCTCGGGCAAGGCTCGGCTGTTTCCGTAGGCCGTATCATCCGTTCACCAATCCGGTTGAACCGAAAAGCCATGGAGGCAGATGGGGCCTACGGAGTGTAGACAACAGCTACGTGTTATGCTCTACGTGGGCAATCATACATTGGCCGGCCACCATGCTTTGGAAAAATGATTAATGACTCACTTATACATATCAACTCTGAGCTCATTCTCGGCGAACTAAAAATGCATTTGATAACTGTCTTGAACTAGAGGAAAAGAGAGGTATTGCAGGTAATGAGGCTTCTAATAATTATCTAGCAGGTAATGTGACAGATGAGTTACTGAGGGATTTTACGAGCCAATTCTAGGTGTTGTGAGCTAACATTCCTCTCCCTAAACAGGCAACTTGCGATAGTGGAACCGGTAGCAAGCAATCTCTTGTCTTTCTGTACCAGAGTAGCGCAATCACTGCATTCTTTGATACCCGCATGACTTACATTGAGCACTGGAGCGGTGAAATCCGACTGCCGCGGTAATGGAATCCATCTCTGACCTAATGGGCAATCCTCTGGTATCAAAGTATGCTTCTATAGCTATGAAGTTGGTCTATGGACTTCTGTTTGAAAACCAACTTAACATAGATTGTCGGCAGGTGAGTAGGCTATGGTTGAAGAATATGCATCTTCATTGCACCTCTAGACAATCATATTCTCGAACATGGCGGGATCTTTTTATCTTGAGCCCTCACAATAGAAAGAATAACGAAACGTTGCCGGCATTATCTCTTTGGCCAGAGTCCTAGAAAATTAGTAGCGAATGAGGCCATGCAGGGCGAGATAGCTCCTAGCCTCCTTGTGTCTAGGGGCACCCTTCAAGACAGCTTAACATCACCAGCTGGCAGAATGATTGAATAATACACCCACAGTTATAGTTCAACAAGTGGAAAGGATTGGTATCGCGGAACTAGTTTCCGAGCTGTTCGTGAGCTGTAGACGGAGTCAAGCCTGCCTTTGACAGACTTGGAAGTAAGGTTGTGGGTTGACAAGCGGTATCCCTGCACTTGACCTTTGGCTCCGACAGGTTTGCTAGAGTATTGTCAGAATGACATCTTCAGTGCGGCGCCAGTGTGGCTCTTAGAGGGGAGTAAATAGTCTTACCAACTTTCCAGTCTCCAGTCTCAAAGGACTGGAGATAGACACTCAGATATGGTGTATTTTTTCTATAGGAGAAGGAGATGTAGGCGTGGAGATAGTTAAGGCTGTCATGATCCGCATGGGGACTGAAAAGGCGCTCGAAGAAAACCAGTTCGCATCAATCCATGATCCCAAAAGACCATCATCAGAAGAAAGGGCTGGCTTACTAGTACGACTTCAGAGTGCTTTTGTACGTGCGAGCCATTTCGCTCCAACCCCGGCGCTCGAAGAACGTCGTCAGGGCGTCTGCCACCGCCATGTCGTTCATCCCGAAGGTAGTGAAATACAGCTGCGGCTCCGGGATCGGATCATTTTGGTGCAGGGTGAAATTGGCCATCAGCGGCAGCCGCTCGTTTGGAATAGAGCCGATGGGCAGATACGGCGCCGGATAGGACTTCAGCCCCGGTGAAAGCTGGATCAGATCCCAGAGTTCACGCACCAGAGCGAGCCCAGCTACCGTGGAAGCGTCCCGGCGCCGGCCGCCTAGAGTCCACAGGTCCTCCATGGCCTCAAGCGAAACCATCTGCTCCAGCAGGTAGATCTTGATTCGCGACTTGGATGGACTGGTGAGATCACAGGACATCAGTCGGGGGCTGGCAGTGCTGGTGGGACCGCGCGAACGAATGTATTCCTCCAGCATGTTGAGTGGGGGCAAGATCTGGGGCACCCTGGCTGCCAGGCGGTGCACAGAGCCAAAGATCAGCTCGTGGATTGTCCTGCCAGTGGCAACTGCTTTGAGGGCGGGGTAGATATAGGTCTTGAGGACGAACCGGCCGTCCTTCAGATCGAGGGCGAGTTTGTTCTGCGTCTTGATGTTGTTGCCCACAAGGTGATCATTTCGAGCCAGGAATGCGGATTCCTCGTTGTCGAGGGTGAGATCGTTCTTGAAGTGGCGGAACAACTCCAGGTCGATGCTCTTCTCCAGAGGGAGCAATTGCTGTAGGCTATCCCAGATGGCGTGTGTATTGAACGGATCTTTGGCGGTCCCGGTATGTTGGTTGATCGGCTCGAAGGCGTATCTCACCAGGGAATCTGAGCAATTCAAGCTCAATTCGAACGGGGTGCCGTATCGAGTGAGGATGCTCAACCAGCGGGGAGCACTGTTGGTCGGATAGCATCCGAGACAGGGAATCACGTACTCCTTGTACGTGATGAGGTAGCGATACTGACAAGATGTGGCGTAATTGGCGGATTCCAGCATTTTTGCAAACATCGGAGCAGTGCTCTGCCACCATAGCTTCTGGTCTTCATTGTCGAATTTCAAGGCAAGGCTGAGAACTTTGTAGACCTCCACGCTGGAGGCATTAGCTGCCTTGGTGAGAGTCATTTTGGATGGGGCGGATGGATTCACGCTCTCTGCAGTGTATAGGATGGGACAGCACGTAATATAGCACTATGGTAATGCTGCGGGTTCAGCTGAGTCCTGCATTTATGACAGAGCATGCTCCAAGTAAGGAGTTCTAGTCAATCCGGGCCACATTCCATTGATCCCTTTCTCATATTTTCGCCCGGAAATCAATCTCAGATAGCTTGAGATGGCCATATCAACAAATCTTTGCTGATACCGAGGTCATCAGGCCGTTTCGCCTCACTCATATCAGTTGAGATTTTCACAGCATAAACGCCCTTACTTCTATTCACCAAAAGCGTTCTATGAACAGGTCCTTCGGCATCGTCCTTCTCTGGCTGTAACCATAGCTGCACAAGGATGAGTTGTTTTCTTGTTATTTTATATATTTTCATTTCATCTTGCCTCTCCTTATCTCTCATTTATGCTTTTTACCGATTTTCATGCTTATTCGTTCGTTGCTGCGATCTCGATTTATAGTCCCCAGTAAGTTGGTAGCATTCAACGACTGTAAAATTTAAACCATGATATAGATTTGACCACTCTATCTTCTACAGTAACCATGACTTTTGTTTTCAGCGCTTTACTAGGCGCATTCCTCGGCTGTATTTGGCTGGCCACATCGGGTACCCTAACCTGTCGCTGTCGACCGGGGGAACCATGCTGGCCTTCAGCATCGGAGTGGGCGGCTCTCAACACCACCCTCAGAGGAAATCTGCTCGAGGTCCGACCCGTCGCTCACGTTTGCCATGACCCATTCTATGATCACTTTGCTTGCCAGAAGTTGCCTGGCCTTGTAAGGGACAGTGGTTGGAGAGCCTCACAGCCCGGTAAGCTCATGCGTTCCACTTCGTCGTTCCCTCTAGCCCTATAGCAGCATGTTGACTGAACGCCCCGGTTCGGAGGGGGGGCACACTAGGAGCCTTACAGGGCTGGATCTGGGAGGCTGGTTGGACAGATGGCGAGATGTGCCATGCGCATTCTCCACGTGGTGCGCCCTGTCACCAAGGCCGGATTCCGTTGTATTCGGCGGCTGTTGAGTCTGTTGACCAAGTTCAGGCGGCGGTAAGGTTTGCGCAACGCCATCGACTACGCTTGGTTGTCCGTAATACCGGCCATGATACCGCAGGACGGTCGAGTGGCTCCGACTCATTCCAGATACACAGCCACCGCATGAAGCATATGGAATACCACGACAACTTCCGGGCCGTCGACTCCGATATAGACCAGGGCCCAGCCGTGAGTGTGGGTGCTGGAGTCATCCTGGGAGAGGTGTATGCGAGAGGTGCCCGTGATGGATGGGTGGTTGTCGGGGGCGAGTGTCCCACCGTGGGTGCGGCGGGCGGTTTTCTCCAGGGAGGCGGAGTGTCCAGTTTCCTCAGCTTCGTCGATGGTCTCGCGGTTGACAATGTCCTTGAATTTGAGGTCGTGACGGCCAAGGTTGGTGGAGGCATTCCTGGTCATTTGAAGATGGTGCTGATGCTACCATGGCCGTGTAGGGGGAGGTTGTCGTGGCCAATAACCACCGCAACCCCGACCTCTTTTGGGCATTAAGGGGAGGAGGTGGAAGCACATTCGGCCTCGTCACACGTGCTACAATGAGGGTGCGACGCAATGTCCCGGTGTGCGTTTCAGAGATGGTAGTATCAGGCAACCGGACCAACCCATTACTCTGGACAAGAGGAGTCGCAGGTCTTTTCTCCATTCTCCGATCGTTCAACAAGCAGGGTATACCGGGCCAGTTTATTCTTCAACCGCTATCTGAACACCAGGTCAATGCAAATCTCACTCTCTACTCCATCAACACAAACGACACCAAGCGGGGGGCTGAGAACATACAATCCATTGAAAAGGTCCTAGAATCCACCAACCTTCCCTTCAGCCTGTCCTCCAGGTGCCTACCAAAGATCAGCGATGTTCTCCGAACAGGACCTGACATTCTCCCCACAAACTACGGAATTCTCACTGGTTCTGTTCTGGTGTCGGAGGACCTCTTCAACTCCGAGCATGGACCGCTCTATCTGGCGAACCAACTAAAGCAATTCCCGATGAACCCCGGGGATCTCCTGTTTACCAGCAACCTCGGCGGAAACGTCACAGTGGACACTAAAAAGAAGCACACGGGCACCGCGATGCATCCGGCCTGGCGAGAAGCGGCCCACTTGATCAACTTCGTGCGCAGCGTGAGCACACCTACCGCGCACGAGAAAGCCAGGGCCTTGGAGGAGCTCCACAGTATCCAGATGCGGAAACTCTACGACATGGAACCCCGCTTCAAAGTGTCGTACAGGAATCTAGGTGATCCGCTAGAAAGTGATGCCCCGCAGGTCTACTGGGGCCCCAATTACAAGCGGCTGCTGGAAATCAAGCGAAAGTGGGACCGTGAGAGCCTGTTTTTCTCTCAGCTGGGAGTGGGAAGCGAGGGGTGGTCCGCAGATGAAATGTGCAGGAGACACAGAAGACTGTACCACCTAACATCTAGCGTTGCTCAGTGGTTGTATCTGTAAGGGATTGGCAGTCAGATATTAGACAGTAGCAGGGCAAAGGAAATACAGGGAAAACAGGAGTAGTAGTTTACTTAGTCAACGCGATGCAGGGAAAAAAAGTGAAGGAGGGGGACAAGATCGAGAATGTCAGACGAAGATTCTCTATACATCTCTTCTGACTTTTAGTTACCATCAGGGTTACTTCGTAAGTCCACATTTGTTCTTCACTGGGCTAGCAATCAGCCACGATGACGATGCAAACTCCCCCTATTATCGACATCCGGCGATCGAGGTTTGAGGCCTCAATCCCCGATCAAGTTATTGAAGGTCTCACGAAAGAGGTAAAAACCCTCCCGGCTCTTCTTTTCTACAGCACAGAGGGAATCCAGCACTGGAATCGGCATTCCCATGCTGCCGACTTTTATCCCCGGCTCGAGGAACTACGTATCTTGAAGGCCGAGGCTTCGAGGATGGCAGTGTCTATAGCCGAGAACAGTCTCGTAGTAGACATGGGCAGCGCGTAAGGGCCATTTCAGTCCGCTCTAGCGAGTCACTACTAAATGAAAGGGCGTGGCGCCTTCGTCTCCTACAGAAGCATGGACAAGGTGCTCTTGCTGCTTGATGCACTTGAGGAGCAGAAGAAATACGTCACATACTACGCCCTTGATCTCAGCTACTCCGAGTTGGCGTCAAACCTCCAGGCCATCCCCTTGGACCGCTTCCATTACGTCCGCTTTGCTGCTCTCCACGGCACCTTTGACGACGGCCTGCATTGGCTGAAGAACACGCCTGCAGTTCAAGGGCTTCCTCATTGCATTCTTCTCTTTGGATTGACTATTGGCAACTACTCACGGGAGAATGCAGCAAGCTTCCTGCGGAATATCGCACAATCCGCCCTCAGCTCGTTACCCGCGCAGAGTTCTATCCTTGTAAGCCTCGACAGCTGCAAGTTACCCACCAAGATATTACGTGCATATACAGCGGATGGGGTAGTTCCCTTTGCGCTCGCCTCGTTAGGATACGCCAACTCTTTGTTCCATCCCAAGGGCAACGGAAAGGTTTTTAATGAGGGAGACTGGTACTTCCACAGCGAATGGAACTATGCTCTGGGGCGACATGAGGCCTCGCTGATCACACGGTCCAAGGACGTCCAGCTGGGTACTCCTTTGCAAAACGTCATCGTGCGTAGAGATGAAAAGGTTCGCTTTGGGTGCAGCTACAAATACGATGGAGAGGAACAGAGACAGCTCTTTTGCTCTGCCGGCTTGCGCAACACAGCTGTTTGGACTGCTCCGGATTGCGATGTGGCATTTTACGAGCTGAAACTGCTTCCGAATTGAATTTTGGGCGCCTTCATTCGTCTTATAGTTGAGACAGGGGCTTAGCATAGCCGGGTGGTGTGATCCTATTTTCCTAGTAATCTCCGTGTTCCGTCAATGGCTTCTCTGTTCTCAAATAGTCCTGATATAGACCAGATAGCTGAGCGGAGAGGGTTAGAAGAGTCTCATATATAGGTTGCTAGGAGATATTGTCCTCGATTTTATTGAGTGAACTCTAATGAAGCGCATGCCTACTAAACATTAGCCATAGCCTGCACTGAATCACCATATTAGTCCCCGTTGTTCAATCAGCGAACTGCATAGGCAGGGAAGGTTGCTTATATTAGCCATTAGCCATATAAACCAACTCCCTCTGAGCTTTGTCGCAAAATCCAGGGTCATTCAGGCTGCATTTCTATGAAGCACTTATATCGACAGGTGCTCTACATACACAGCCTGCGGGTATCTAAGAGCTCAGATCTTCTTATTCTGAGATGAGCTCATTACGTATTGTACATCTAATATATTGTCCAGTAGGCTGAGTTGCTTATTTGCTCATGGACCCTAGTATACAACGAGATAGAGGGACCAAACAAAAGTACGAGATGGTAATGAGAATAGGAGACTTTCCCTTAGTCGTCATCGTCATCTTTATAGACTCCCCACGCTCCCTGCCCAGAGATTTGAAAATCTTCTGGCAGTGGCGGTTCAACCTGACCGGTAATAGATTGAGTACCCGAAGGACCCGCCAGAGTCAAAGAAATGTCGGATCCTCCAACCCGTGAGCTAGGCTGAAGCATCTCGCGGCCCCTTAATTCTCTGGGCGACTCGTAGGTCAACCTGGCATTGTAGACGTTGAAGTCTGGAAGAGGTTCACCAGTAACGTATAAGTTGAGATTGTGCCAGATGCCGTCAACGACAAATTGACCAGAGATGTTGTGGCCAGAGCCTCTCACTCTTCCTTGTGAAGCTGGCATCTGTTTCATAATAGTATCTCATGTTAGCATAAGCAGGGACATGAAGAATTATATGGGGAAGGTGCGGGCTTACAATGACTTGGTATAGGTGATGTACACTCTGATTGTAAATTGGACTGGTCGTTTGGCTGTCGTTTGCTTGACAGCCAGCTGAGCGAGGCTGATGCTTTATATGGTAGGGGTTTGACGATCTAGATGGAGTCCAATGTGACCCTATGTCATTGACATTAGATGGGTCTGGCACGTTTGCAGTTTACTCGAGGTGGATGACCTCACCATTCGCTGCAAAGGGTAATAACCATAAAACGGCAGCACTCATGATCCCAGACGTACGTCCTATTAAGGATAAAGCTAAAATATATGATTCATGTCATCAACGGTCTGGACAGGTGCATGCATAGCCCAACGTAGTCACACAAACCACCGGCACGACTAGATGTCGAGATACGCCACTCTATATTTACATTAGCACTAGAGACCAAATAGAGCGTATCTACTTGCTTCCAAAGCTTATTGAGTAATATTGCCTCATCATTCCAGCACCAGAGTAGGTATTAATTAAGCGCATCAGATCTTACACGAACAGTTTTTGCGATCGGATATTCTACAGACTAGTCGCAGTCCGAGCCATAGCCAGATAATCAGTATTAAGAATAGTTAAAGGCCTGAGTTCCTGGGGAAAGGGTTTGATATAACAATTTACTTAGGCAGAACGGTCCTTGAAACATGTGCTTAAGGTGAGTGGGTGGTCATTGTGGCATGTTATTACGAAGACTAGGTCAAGTATGGGATGCTGAGCATGGTGGATAGGAGCGCCGAGGCGGGCACAGGGCGCAACCCAGTATCCATATGGAGTGATTTAGCTGGAAGAGATCGAATTTACTCCACCAGTTTTGGCTCTATTTCCGAGTCACAGATGGCCAGCAGAGTGCGGAATGGAACGAACGTTTGAAGGATGGTCACTGGTACATTGGTACCTTTGCAAATGAGACATATCTTTGGATGAAGAGGTACCTATATTTGGTGTATACTCACTTCATCTATCAGAGGGTCAAGTAGATAGCAGAGAATCCGCCGGCATCACGGTAGATAGATGTAGTCTATCTATCCTCATCTACATTTATTTCCATCGATAGATAGATTCTCCCCTCCTGCGTGGGAGCAGATTCCAGTCGTTCCCTGAGAAGGGCCAATTCGGGCCGGCAATACGCTCACCTAGGATGGTACAACGATGCCGTACTTCTCGTAGTCAAAGTGATCCAGGCTCGGTATGCATTCAGCCCAGCCGTCATCAATCTCTCCTAGCTGCCACTCGTCTCCAATTTCACTCATCCCCGTCCTCCCGGCCAGCACCTCCTTCTCCCTCGCTTGATACTCGACCGCCACATCCGGATGCGGTACCCAAACAACCCTCATCCCAGCCCGTCTCCCAGCCTCTACCCCGGCCAAGCTATCTTCAAAGGCCAAACATTCGCTGGGCAAGATGGGTTTCCCGTCAGAGGTTGCCCCGGAGTTCAACGCCTGCAAGGCAACTAGATATATATCTGGCGCCGGCTTTCCTCGACCCTGTCGCACTCGCGGGTCATCGCCCAGGACCCGCCTCTCAGGCGGGAAAAAGCTAAGCAGCTGCTTAGTTTCCGGTCTGGAAATTTTCAATTCGAAGGTATGGCTCTTGGTGCTGGATGCCAAAGCCAGCTCGATCTGGTCCCCAGAAGCGCTACGTGCACGACTGAGGTTCGACAGGAGCTTCTCCGCGCCAGGGAGCGGGGTACAGTTGAGGAACTGCAGGTGCACTTCTTCCCTTAATTCACGGGCGAATTGCTCGCGGGAGATGGGCAACTTGGCCCAGTTGTGGAACAGGTCGCTGTTTGTCGAGTCGGGGATACCCATGAGCTGGGCTCGAATCGATGGGATAAAAACAGGCCTCCCATACTTTTCAAGAAGCCGGTTGGTTGATTGAGTGATTATGTCTTCGGAGTTGATGAGAAGCCCGTCCAGGTCGAAAATGCAGGCCCGGATTGCGGGGAACTTCGTAGTCCTATTATCATGTCGGCGATCAATACGCCATACTAAATGCCATATATCGATGGTGCTGTGGAAGCGCACTTACTCTGTCTCAAGGCGAGTCATGGTACTGGATGAAAGCCGATTCTGATCCGAATTGACGGTACTGGGAGGGAAATGAGGGGATTCGGGTCGTGATATCCATGGGTGATCTTCCCGTTTAGCGTCCGTCCCCACCCCGCCTGATCGGGGATGTGCGGGATGGTACGGAGTATATGTATATATAAAATAACCATGGCCTTAGGCATGTGTACAGACATGCAGACTTCTTATCTTGTTATGAAACGTGATGCTTTTGCATTATCGAATTGGAACTAGCGTTGGATGCAGAACCAACCCAAAGGCAATGTCACTGTGAAGTGACCGTGCCAGAACACCGAGAGTGCTACAATGACATTCCAAAACCACGATACGACTGTACGATATGTTCGTGGAGCCAAAGTATTTGTCTACTGCTAACGTGCGAGAACAAAGATATTGTATTGTTGTAGGGAAGCTTCGTTGAGGATCTACTTCCTCGTATTGCAACTTGGTCGATGGACGAACACAGACCACATCAGTCATAATCCCATCACTCACAGTTAGGATACAAAGAAAAAGGAAACTCAGCAAATCAACTAGCTAGAACAATGGGGTCCTCTCCTCTTATTGCCCTCCAGCGATTGCTTATTTCAATCAATTCCTCGCAGCCCTTTAACAAGCATGCCCATTTCTTAAGGAACCCCGGAGTAGCCTCCCAGCTCTCTTTCACGTACGGCTCCCCCCATACAATCAACCCTCTGCGTCCAGCAGTGATCATGTCCTCATCTTCCCCTTGAAGTAGCATTTGGGGAGACGCCGGCAAGGATTCACATGTCTCTGGCATGATAGATAAATTGCCGTTCACCATATCTCCAAAGAGATCCCTCAAAAAGTCCACCACATCAACATAGTCCTCGCATTGAATCAGATTATCCCGAATTTGCGGGAAAGGAAGCATGTCGATCCAGTTAGAGTGTGGATGAACCATCTGTAACGATGTCGGAAAGAGTGAGCCCGGAAGGCCCGTAGAGAGGGGATGGATGATCGTGGGACCACCACAAAGTCGTCTGCCAGGTTGCAGATTGTCAACAGCATCACTTGGGGTAATTGTTCTTGCGAAATGCCTCAAGACGTCTTTATTGGACACAAGTGCTCGATATACATTGTAGTGGATAAGATGTAGCAAATGGTCGGCAGGAAGAGGAAATTGGATGGTGGGTGATCTGTCAGCTGCTGAAATGGCGGCTAGCCTTGACCTTGGGTGAGAATTTCCAAACTCAGGTGCGAAATGAACTGCTCTTCCGGAAGTTCGAATTGCCAACTCGTTTGTCGAGCTCCGTTCGGTGTCGCTAGGTTGGGAGGGTCTGTCATTTGCGATTCGCCAACGATCCACTCGGAACGGGCGGCGCCCAGATTTCGGATCTTGGGCTTTTTTCTCGCTGACTCGTCTTCCTAATGCAATCAGTCACTAGATGAATTGAAGTGCAACACAGTAAGGTTTGTAGCTGAAGGTTACTTACTATGAGCTCTTTGATTCAGCCGATTCTGTACTCTCTTCCGCTGCTTCCTATCTTCGATGCCTGTCCAGTCATCCCAATTCTTTCCAGAATCCATTTTTGGACCTTGGCCGACATGAAAGAGGAAATAACAGTCAGCCTCTAGACAGCGGAAGGCAAGGATAGATGTATCTAGATGCATGTAAAAGCTAACGACAAAAGAGGCAAAATCTGTCAGCCAGCCAGCCCCACATATTGAACTTACGGCACCGGCCGGAAAGATGACAGGTAGAGCCATGGATTGTGTCATCACGCTGTTGGAATGCTCCCAAAGAGGCAAAAGTAGTCAGCCAGGCCCACATATAGAACTTCGGAATAGCAAGAGTGACCGACTAGAAAGACAAGACGTTTTTCTAAGGCTTAACATATCATCACTAAATAGGTAAAAGTAGTCAGCCAGCCCCATATATTCGCCTTCGAAAAGCAAAATGAGAGGGGTCAATCGCAGGCTTAGTGCATCATTACTGTGTTGAATAGGCCGAAAGCAGCAAAACTAGTCAGCCAGCTTCAAGATCTCTGCTCTGGGCAGCAGAAGGAACACAATGCAAGGACATGCAAATTATATAAATACACAGCTTCTTCCTTTCACGTTCATCTATTTTTCAGCACAGAAAGCATTGTTTCACAGCTTCCTCCACTGTTCGTTCCACATCAACTCAAGCCCTATTCCGCATCCACTGCTATAAGATGTCTCAATACGCTGCCGCTCACGCTAGCCCAGAAGGACCAGGCGACTCTCGACCAACAGCATTGCAAGTGGTCAAAGATGAAGGAATGGAAGGCAAGTTAGAGGGCAAAGTGATTGTCATCACCGGAACCTCGTCCGGCCTTGGTATTGAAACGGCGCGCGCGCTCTCCGCCACCGGAGCAACGCTGTACCTGACAGCTCGAAATGTCCCCAAAGCCAAAGCTGCCTTGGCCGACATTGCTGAGACAGGTCGTACGGAATTCATCGAAATGGATCTAGAATCCTTCGAAAGCGTACGTGCGGCTGCGGGGACGATTCTCGCAAAGACCGGCAAGGTCAATATCCTGATCAACAACGCTGGAATCATGGCCGTGCCACGTCTGGAATTCACCAAGGATGGCTACGAGCTGCAGTTTGGCACCAATCACCTCGCTCATTTCCTTCTTTTCCAGCTATTGAAACCAGCGCTCCTGGGCGCCTCGACCCCTGGTTTCCATTCTCGAGTTGTCAATGTGTCCTCTGCCGCCCACTGTCGCAACGGAATCAATGCATCGGACAATTACAACTTTGAGAAAGGTGGTTACGACCCCTGGGTAGCGTACGCGCAATCGAAAACTGCCAACATCTACATGGCCAATGAGATTGAGCGCCGCTACGGCTCTCTTGGGCTTCATGCAACGAGCGTTCATCCTGGGGGAATTTTAACTGGTCTTTCGAAGCACATTCCCGACGCGGAGGTTGCGACAATGTTGGAAGACAAGGCTCTGGTCAAGAGCTTGAAGAGCCCAGAGCAAGGTGCTGCGACTACGGTTTGCGCTGCTATTGGCAAGGAATGGGAGAAAAAGGGAGGCAAGTATCTCGCTGATTGTGCTGAGGCGACGGGTGAAAATGATGATGGCAATATGGCGGGAGCGAAGTATGCCAGTCACACTTACGATGCGGAGAGCGAAAGCAGGCTTTGGAAAGACTCGTTGAAAATGGTGGGATTGGCGGATGATCAGTAGTAGAGGATCTCTTCGCAGTATGTTTCGACATGGAAGGCAATAATGCCTCCTTGTTATAGCAATTTTCATCTCTAGTATATTTATAGGTTTTATTGATATTGTGGAATAGTTTCCCTAATGATGTTGTTCAGTTGACTAGCACTGTTGCCCTGCTTAGCTTAGCAAAAGTGTTCATTTCTTGTATGAGGTTGCATCTTATAATCATGCCATTCAAAAAGTCTTTGTACTTCCTTTAACAGTGCGTTGATTTTATCAGAGCAAAAAAGGAGAGTGCCAAAGGCCACTTTTGATATACTATCATTTCCATCAAGCATTGTGTTTGGGATAGAAAGCGCTTTCATAGTTATCACACATAGAGTTGGATAGGGGAGGCCGGGAGAGTAGTTTTAAGATTGATGATACACTCTCTCAGTTTGATTCCTGGAAAATAAATCCAAAGTCTGCTAAAATATCTTAGTTCACCACGCTATATAATTTAGCAGAAATTAAGAATGGTAGTGGTCATATACGATTATGAGCATTTGCAATGGAATCTGTTTTCTAATCTAACAGTATCTGGTTGTGATGGCCAGCTCCTCAATGACGCCGTAAAGGCAAATAAATGAAGAGGAAAGATGAAGAATAGGCGACTCCAAATTTCTTTTCATCGCAAGAACCCCCATAAATTATTCAAGCTTTCGGCAAAAGTCGGATGTGCAAACACAGCATGTTGCAGTTTCTGATACGATAGTTTCCCTACCATCGCCATCTGCACAGCACTCATCAGTTCCCCCCCCTCAGCGCCTAAGCAGGAGAAACCCAGGATAGTTCCCGATTCCCCATCCACAACTGCCTTCATCGCACCCCTCGACTCTTCTGTCTCCAACGCTCTAGCCACATAATTCATAGGCATTAGCGCAGTCATGATCTTTCGGTCTGGAAACTTTCCTCGCGCCTCATGCTCGTGCAAACCGACATGGGCAAATTGCGGGTCCGTATAAGCGACATATGGCACGAGCCGGTCTTTTACAGAGAGCCTGGAGGGTAAAGTGGAAGAAGACAGCAAAGATGATCCGAGGACACGAAAGTCATCGTAGGAAATGTGTGTGAATGCCGGGGGCCCCTTGATATCGCCCATCGCGTAGATAGAAGGGGCGGATGTCTGAAGGAATTCGTTTGTAACAACATAACCCGCTCTGTCCGTTTTAATTCCTGCGCCCTCGGTGTTGAGGCGGTCACTATTTGGTACTCTTCCTGTTGCAAGCAAGATATGCGTAGCGCCATTCACGACCTCATTGCCTTGACTGGTCACAATGGAAACGTCGAAGGACTGCTCGGAGGAAGTCGAAATACGAATGGGTGTTGTTTTCAGGTATACGGCTATGCCATCCTCCTGAAAAATATCCAATAGCATGTCCGCCAGCTCCTTGTCCTCTCGCGGAAGCAATTGGGGCCCACGGTGGAGGATCGTAACCCTAGCCCCGAGTCTCCGGAACAATTGACCAAATTCGACCCCGATGTATCCACCACCGACGACAATCAGATGCTCTGGTACTTCACCTAGTTCCATGATAGACGTCGAATCCAACACCCTCGCACGGGGAATCCTTTCCAACCCATCGAGTGTTGGAGCCGCTGGTCGACAACCAGTGTTGATGACAATCTTCTCCCCGCTGACCACCCTCTTACTCCCGTCACCCATCGCCACCGAGAGAGTCCTCTCATCGACAAAACTAGCTTCGCCCATCAAAACATCCACGCCCGCATTCTTGGTACTATTTTCATTGCTGGCCCGGAACGAATGCACAATATCACGCTTGCGCCGTCGGACTTTGGCCATATCGATAGCAACCTCATTCCTCCCATCTTCCAGACCAGGCATACGGACACCATAGTCCGGTCCTCTCCTGGCCAAATACGCAACTCTCCCAGAAGCAATTAATGTTTTAGTCGGCGTGCAGCCTTCATTGACACAGCAGCCGCCGATATGTTGCCGTTCGATTAGGGCGGTTTTGTGATTTGCTTCTGCGAAGGCTCTTGCAAGGGGTGTGCCGCCTTGACCGGAGCCGATGATAATAGCGTCGAACTGAGCGCTGGTTGCCATTGTTTTGATGAAGTGGTGTTTGAGAGATTGGCGGAGGATGGGGCGGAGATACATGTTTGGGGCATGACAAAATAGCTGGCTTAGTCTAGGGATATAATTTATCTAAAGGTTAAAAAAAGGGTGATCGGGTCATGATTATATCATCCCCACATTGTGTTGTCTGAAGCTACCCATGGTTCTGGAATCCGACTGATGGGGGCCGGGTCTGGATCGTCAGTTTGGCTGTGTACGGACATTGTATGGATCTACCTTCATGTCAAAAGCTTTGCAGCAATGGAGATAACGCGGAAGTAATAGACATAGTCCAACCCGATGATGTCAGATTCATAGGCATAATACCTTTACGGTTTGATCAAAAAGAGTAACTTTACTGCTTCTGAGCACCCTCATTGGTGCGAATCGACATCGACAACTAACTCTCAAGAGTCAAGACCAACATTTCTAAATGCCTCGGCAGGACTGTTTCTAAATGGTGTGATTCAGTTCACTAATCTCAAGATAGTTCAACTAGCTTGCCCTTAAGGCATTATAAGAGAACTTTATTTGAGTCTAGGTGGATAGTCTAACCCTGTGTCTCCACCAAGCTAATGAGTTCATTAGATGTGTATATACTGTTGAACTTTGTTGATCCTCCTAATTTGCATGATGTGACCTGTTTATTGATATTAGTTAAAGGGATTTTATATTAACTAACAAGGTGATGTATATATTATTAAGACAAGAATTCATATTCCTGTGACCTCTGTTATTGAACTAGTAGCTTAATAGCATGGGTTTAATACTTGCAGTAAAGAATATCATGATTAGTTTTAGTAAGTGGATTAGATCGATCGTTCAGCATATAACTTTTTTCTTTTGGTTTAATTCCTTTTCTGTGTCTTTCCCCCTTCTTTTTTATTTGATGCTACAGAGGACTTAATGGGTGAAATTGTCTAATTATTATGAGAAGAGACCAAGCAAGGAGCAGCTATCCTGAATAAACATTTATATTACCCCTACCTAAACAATAAGTGCCACAAGGAAGCTCGCCTCGACTTTCTGTAAAGTGTAGAATGAGCAGAGAGAGGTTCAGAATATGAAGATATTTCATTAATTATTATATATGTAAATCTATGTTTACTATTGTATAGTGGAAGGAGCTATCTACTAAGTGAGATCACATGATCAGATCTCTACTATACTAAGTATAGCTATATACCCCTAGATTTAATTAATAAGGTTGTAGCCACTTCTTAATTAGGTAGTTAATCTATAATTATAGTATTAAGATCTACTATTTATAGTACTCTACTAGGCTAAGCCTAGCGCCTTAAAGAATTAATTAAACTTTAGATAACTGTAACAGATTGAGTATAGCTTCTATGTTGTTTTCCCTTAATTCATATTATGCTTGCAGATAGCTGTATTAAGCATACTGTTTTTAATTACCTATTTTTATGCCTTAAGATGCTTGCGAAAGACTACCATAAACATAATATATTATTAATAAAGATATATATAGACCCCCTTATCTGACAGGTTAGGAAGATAAGGATTAGTCTTATTATTAACTAATCTACTATTCTACTATACTATTCTAACTAAGTACCCTATCCTTTATTATTTCTAAGAAGCTTACCTAGTTAACAGGCTTATCTACCCTATCTAGTAGATTATTCTTATAATTTCTAATCCTTCCTCTTTAACTACCTAAGTATTAGTTATAATACCTACTAATATTAATATATTAGGGGAGGTTATTCCTATATCTCTACCTTAATTATAGAAACCCCTTAGTAATATACTAACTAAATAATAAGAGAATATAGATAATATACCTCCTAAGAGAAGTAAATCCTCTTCTATAGCTATAAGGCCTTACTAGATATCTAATAAGGAAATCTAATAGCTATTCTAATATATTACTATACTTAAAAAGAACTAGTAGATATAGAAGTCTATTAATAAATCTAAATATAAACTAATTACCTATTAAAATAATACCTATATCCCCTTTAAGAATAAATAAGAGGTTAAATTTAAGAATCTCCCTACTTTTACCTTAAAGTATTCCTTCTAAAAGAGGGAAGAATAAATCTAGGATATAGAATATATATTTTAGAGAGCTCTAAAGAAGTATAAACCTAATAAATTTAAAATTATTACTATAATCTTATAAATAGAATTAACCTATAGGCAGAGATGGTATAGTAAAGTTAGGGAATTATTAATAGAGGACTACTAAAATACTAAATATTTCTAGTAATTCTTCTAAGAATAGATAATTAACTTAATCTAGGATTCTATAATTATTAAGTTAAAAATAATTATATAATTATATAATACTAATTAATACTCTAATAAAGACCTATAGGAATTTTATATCTATTTAGATATATTAGAATAGTATTTTTCTTAATATTCTAAAAAGTAAAGGGCACTAAACTTCTTTAGTTATTTTATAATAAAGTTATATACCTATATATAAGAGCACCTAGATATACTATCTAATACTAGAGATAAAATAGTATTATAAGTATCTAAATACTAGACCTTACTTTAATAGGGATAGAAATAAAGAAAGAAAGAATTAGAAAAACCCTAGAATAGAAAGCCCTAAGAAGGTAATCTATCTAAATATTTTTATCCTAATAATAATAATAGATTAAAATCTTAATAAAACTAACTTAATAAAGATAGTAAACCTTTAAAGTACTATAAGTATAGGAGTAAAGAATACTTAGTAAATTAATATACTAAAAAGACTACTAAAGTTTAACTATTTATAGTAGAAAATAATAAGAGATTAGAATAAAACCTATATCTTTAATCTCCTACCTAGAAGTAGAGATAACTTATTATTTTTATATTTTAATAAGCCTAATAAATAGTCTTAAAATATATATAGACCTAGATAGTTATACTAAGATTAATATTA